TCAACAAAACCAAAAGTTGGTTCTTTGGAAAGATCAACAAAATTGACAAACCTTTAGGCTAAACTAATCAAGGAAGAAGATGCAAATTATGAAAAATCAAGAATGAAAGAGGGTCGTGACTCCGGTCCTTATAGAAAGGAGGACCACAAAGGGACGCTTTGAACAGTGGGGTCTCAGCCTGCCAGGGCTGCCGTGACAAGACGGCACACACTGGGCGGCCTGTACCACGCACACTAGCTTTCTCACAGCTCTGGAGGCTGGAAAAGTCCAAGATCAGGGGGTCAGCAGGGTTGCTTTCTCCTGAGGCTTCTCCTCCCCTTAGCTTACAGATGGCCACCTTCTCACTGTGACCTCACGTGGGCTTGCCTCTGGTCATACACACTCCAGGTGTGTGTCCTGATCTTTTAAAGATTTTACTTATTTGAGAGAGTGCACGTGCACACACGAGTGGGGTGAGGTGCAGAGGGAGCAGACTCCCTGCTGAGCAGGGAGCCTGACATGGGACTCGATTCCAGGTCCCTGAGATCATGACCTGAGCCCTAAGCAGACGCTTCACCCACTGAGCCACCCAGGCACCCCTGTGTTTTAATCTCTTATAAAGACCCCAGTTAAAAAAAAAAAAAGACCCCAGTTAGATGGGATTAGAGCCTACACCAATGGCCTTACCTAAATTACTTATGAAGAGGCATAGTCCCCAAATACAGCCACATTCTGAGGTACTAGAGTTAGGGCTTCTGTTATGAGTTTTGGGGGCACAGCTCAGTCCATAATAAGTTTTAGGCCAATGGATTAGATGATGTACATAAAGTGAACAAATTCCTATATACATACAAACCACCAGTTGACTCAAAAAATAGGAACTCTGAGTAGACCTATAACAAAGAGATGGAAGAATTAGTAATTAAAGTGTATAGCAGCAAAGGGAAGCCCAGACCCAGAGGTCTTCACAGGTGAATTTGAGCCAACATTTAAAGATCAGATATCTGGGCATCTGGGCGGCCCAGTGGTTGAGCATCTGCCTTTGGCTCAGGGCCTGATCCCAGGGTCCTGGGATCGAGTTCTGCATCGGGCTCCCCGCAGGGAGCCTGCTGCTCCCTCTGCCCATGTCTCTCCCTTTCTGTGTCTCTCAGGAATAAATAAAAATAAATAAAATCCTTAAAAAAAATAAAGATTCGATACCAATTCTTTGTAAACTCTTCTAAAGATTAAAAGAGAATAATTTCCCAGCTCCTTCTAGGAAGCAGGTAGTACCTTGATGTTAAAACCAGACAAAAACATGAAGCATAAGACAAATAACTTAGGAATATATACACAAAAGTCCTCAAAACACTAGCAAACTAAACATACCATGACCAAGAGGGTTTATCCTGGAAATGCATGGTTGGTTTAACACCTGGAAGTCTGTTAACGTAATATATTTCCACAGAATTAAGGAAAGCTGGCACGATCATTGCAATGGACACAGAAGTGTCTAACAAAAACCCAGCACCACCTTGTGATTTTAAAAACCTCAGCTAGAAAGGGAGGTGAGCTCCCCCTCCCCCCCACCCCGACAAAGGCCACCTGTGGGAGACTCACAGCTGGAAGCATCGCTGAGGTTATGGTAGCCGAAACCGAGAGCCAGACCCCCAGCCAACCGAGCCCCCAGGCTCCCATCACCCCGGGGTTTTGAGGAGTGTCTGGACCAGCTCCGGGAGCATACGTGGTGCCCCAGGCTTCAGAAAGGGTCCCCGGAAACCTATGACGTTCCCTTGGCCCGGAGGGCAGCAGCGTGGCCCCAGCACCGGGTCTGCCTTCTTTTCCAGGTTTCTGGGTGGAGCGCACCCCGGTGCACGAGGCCGCCCAGCGCGGCGAGGCCCTGCAGCTGCAGCGGCTGATCGAGAGCGGCGCCTGTGTCAACCAGGTCACCGTGGACTCCATCACGCCCCTGCACGCAGCCAGTCTGCAGGGCCAGGCGCAGTGTGTGCAGCTGCTGCTGGCTGCCGGGGCCCAGGTGGGTGCCATCTCAGGGTCCCCTGCACAGCGAGGACCAGCGTGGTCAAGGCTTGGCTCCTGGGGGGCACTGGTGGCAGTTCTGGGGAGGGAGGAAGGGAGGGGCCGAGGGGGTGCTGTGCGCATCGGGCAGGCCGTGGGGGGCACTGCTTGCATCCAGCAGCTAAGCAGGATGCTGGGAAACCAGCGCTCAGCCACGGAGGGTGGGGGTGGTCACACAGAGCACAAGACTCTGGTGCCTTTTCCCTGGTGTAAGTGTGCCTGCCAGGGTGGACGTGGGGGCCCCCAGTGGTTCTGGCCGTGGGGAGCTGGCCTGACACCCGCAGCCCGAGGGCTCAGCTGGAACCAGTGTCCACCCGGCGCTGTACTGTCCACACTGCGCCACCTACCCTCCAAAGGCTTGCCCGGGACAGTGGCCTCGAGGAGCTGGAACACGCTTTCCTGCAGTCTGGGTGTATCTGGGGGCCGGGGCAGGTGGCAAGAGTGAAGCCGAGTTGACCCCGTCCCAGAGAAGAGCCCCGACCAGCACCCCTCCCGCAGCTGGCGGGCTAGCGGGCACTCCCAGCCCTGGCCCGGTACCCACTCTCAAACTGGTGCTTCTAAGAAGGGCCTTTGCAAAGATGAATGTGGATCGGGGGAGAAAGCGCGTGGCGTGGGCTCCCCCTCCGTCCTGACGCTCGTTCCTTCCTCCCCACCAGGTGGACGCCCGCAACATCGACGGCAGCACGCCCCTGTGCGATGCCTGCGCCTCCGGCAGCATCGAATGCGTGAAGCTGTTGCTCTCCTACGGGGCCAAGGTCAACCCACCCCTGTACACGGCATCCCCGCTGCACGAGGCCTGCATGAACGGTGAGTCCGTGCAAGCAGTGTAGGTGGGAAGCCATGGGCCGGCTAAGGAGCGCTCCCCGTCTGCTTCTGGCTCTTGCTCACCCGCTGTGGGGTCCTCAGCTTTTCCTTCTGAAGATGCTTTTCACCCAGGAGTAGGGGGCCATGGTTTCTAGGATAGGATTCTGTTTCTCAGCTGCGTCCTCCAGAGCTCTCAGATACTAAGTCCCTCTACCCTGCCGCGGTTCCCTCAGCCTTCACGGTCTTGTGCCTGTAGGCCCTGTTCTAGTTGGGAGAGGGGACCCAACATGTGCCCGAGGACAGGTGCTCTCAGGAGGAAGGGCTCGTCCAGGAGGCTTGGAATAGGTGGGATTTCAACTGCCCCACAAGAATGGGTAGTTTCAGATGGCGGGAGGGTAAGAGGAAGGTCCTGCACGCAGAGAAAGTGACCTGTCCAGGCTCGCTGGACCAGGAGTTCCCAGTGGAGGGGCAGCAGGTAAGGCCGCAAATTTAGGGCAAGACCGGCAGGTGGGAAATCTTTGAATGAGGGACTAAGGAGCTTGGATTCTACTCCTTAGAGCAAAGGTTGCAAGCTTGTGGTATTTTGATTGGCAGGCACTGTGCTGGTCCTGGTTGTGGGGCTGTGGGTGCATATGCTCTTCCATGGCTCCCCTCAGGGCCTCTGCTCTCTGCTGCCTCCCACCCCGCTTCCCAGGGAGGTCATCTTCTGTTACCCGGATCTAGTGCAGAGACCACGCCGCCTCCATCCAGGTCAAATGCACATCGTACGATTCCAAGGATGCTTTATGAAATCCAGGACCCTATGTGTGATGGTGTGGCTGATCCACACTCCTCAGAGTCCTTGGGTGGGTGATCCCCATGGCCTGAGGGTGGAGGCCACGGTCTTTGGGATGGCACGTAAGGGGCAGTGACCTGGGCCTTGCTCCGGGGAACTCTCCTCGCCCTCTCCCACCCCTGGCCCCACACAGACCCGCCTCCAGTCCCACCTGTAGCTGCTCAGTGCTTCTGCCCTTTCTCACCTGCGTCTCTGCATCAGTTCTTCTCTGCCTGAAATCCCACCTGTGCAGATGGAGGACTAGGATCGGAGTGATCTGCTGAGATGTTACACGCTCCACCCTGCTATATACAGTCCTCTGGTGCTCTTTGGGCTGCCAAGTGTCTGGAATTTCCTCTGGTCATTAATTTGTCCTTTCTTGTGGAGGGCAGTAGGGACACCTTTGGAAATGTATGTCCTGCTCTTAGGCAAATAGCCGCGAGGGTGGAGGGGTGGGGCGAGGGGAGAGCTTTACTTGTATCTGCTTAATTGCCTTAAGCTCAAAATAACCCTTAAGCTAAAGTGGCCTATTTGGGGGGTGGCATAGTCTGCTCCTCTTGGATAGAGGGGTGCAAGGGGTGGGGTATGATGTGGAGAGGGGCTGGGGCCATTGCAGTGATGCTAAGTGGGATGGATTCGTTTAGAAAGCTTTGGGCAAAGGATGGGCAGGATTCAGCATGAAGGAGAGGAGAGCACGGGGCCAAAACAGACTCAGGAGTGATGCCACCAATGGAGACGGGTTTGCTAGGAACAGGTGTCCCCGGGGAGGGGAAGGAGGACCATGGTCGAGACATCCCCAAGGGCACGGCCTGCGGAGGGCTGTAGGCAGGGGTGGATTTTAGGGCTAGAGGTGGAAGCTTGGCAGCTCCCAACGACGAAGCATGATTAAGTGAGGAGGGAGGATGCAGCCCGGGACAGAACGAAGCTCCACTCAAACCGAGTTCAAGATGCCGGGGACAAGGGCAGGGGTCTAGGATAAGCTTAGGGAAGTTCATCCAGGAGCCTTGGACTCGGGCTGCCAGCAGCCTTACAAGATCCCCTCCAGGCTTGGCGTTCCTGACACAGCTTAGGAGACAGCCCCGAGCGGGAGCACCTTCCTTCCTGCCCCAGAGCCGGAGCAGCAGGGAGCAGAGTCCGGCTCTTAGAGGTGGTGTCCCCAAACCTTTATGGTGTCCGCCAAGAGGGGTGGCTGTGCCACTCCCCGCCCCCCGCCTCCAGGCAGGCTTGAACCCTGCAGGCTCAGAAGCGACAACCTTCTCTGGCTCCCTAGGGCCACATGGGATCGTCAACCGCCTTTAGTTGGGACGCAGCTCCGGCTCCCCTTGCTCCCCTTGGGCCTGGGGCTTACCTGTTCAGCTGCCACTCCTCTCAGGTCTTGTTCAGATGCACGTGTTCATTCATGGTTCCCATCCTATTCCGCTTGTTTTAAGGAAGTTCTGAATGTGTGAGGCTTCTGATTGACGTTGGGGCCAACCTGGAAGCGCATGACTGCCACTTTGGGACCCCTCTTCATGTCGCCTGTGCCCGGGAGCACCTGGACTGCGTCAAAGTGCTGCTGAATGCAGGTGCGTTGGCGTTTACTGCTGTGCTGCTCAGGGCAGGTGCATCGTGTTTATACCCGTGCTGCCGAGCGCAGGCGTGTTGCGTTTATGCCCGTGCTGTTCAGGGCAGGTGTATTTATACCCGCTCTCCTCAATGCAGGTGTGTCCTGTTTCTACCTGCGCTTCTCAGTGCAGGTATATTGGTGTTCCTACCTGCCTGGCTCAATACAGGTGTTTTGTTTACCTGCACTGTGTGCTGGCCATGAGCTGGGCGGTGGAATTGGACAGACCAGGTTCGAAGCTGGCTCTCCTACCTGCCAGCTGAGACCTCGGGCCTCCTTTCTGTATCTACAAAAGTGGGGAAAATAAATCCTGTTTTGCAGGGTTGTTGGATTCGTGATCACATTTTCGCAGGACCTGATGCTCAGTGAACACTAATCATTATTTTCAGTGGCCACGAGGACCATGCACAGCACCTGCATAATTTCATTGGCATCCGAATCAGGAAGAGGTGGGGGTCCTTGGGAAAGGAGCCAGCAGCATTTGGAATCCAGGTGCTTGTCAGGTGTTCTGAAAAGGCTCAGGATTGGGAGGGTCCTAAGGCAGAAAACAAAACAAAACATAAAAGCAAAATAAAAAACAACCCAGTCCAGTGCAGGTTGGCTTCAGGACCTGTCTACCATGGAAGTTTTAAAATGGAGCCAAAGTGGGTGTTGGCAAGGAGCTTTCAACCCAATGTAAATATTTTGTTGGAAAATCTTAGCTCAGCCGTTCTGGGTGCAGCTCAGGATAAAAAACAAAACTGGCCGGGAATAGAAGGATGACGAGCTCGCTCCCGACCACGCTCGTTTGAGCGTCAGTTATGTGTACTCTTCTATTCGGAAGCCTCGTTCGCTTTCATGAGCCACTTTGATGTCTTTTCTGTGAAAGAGATTCCTTTTGTGTCTGGTTAGTCACTGGGGTAGTTTTATTTTGGGCACAGTGATAAAACGTCTAGATGAGGAGCCATCGAAGGCCTTCCAGCCGGTCAGCGTTCCTGTCAGCCGGGGGTTATCTAGCTGCCTGACTGCTGAGCTTCTGAAATGGCAGTTTTCCAGCCACCAACTGTCCCCACAGTGCTGCTGTCCATGTGCTCCAACACCTCGTGCCCTTTTTTTTTTTTAGTTCTCTGGTTGAAGCTGTTAGGGGAAAGGACCGAATCAGGGGCTTGCTTGAACCCCAACATCCTTTCTGCATCGATTAGGACTTTGTCGCACCCCACTGCAGGGCCGAGGGGACTTCTTGGTTCGGTGACTGGAAGGATTGGAAGGAGGCAGGTGTCAGGGTCCGTTTGCCCTGAGGGTTCAAGAGCATCATCAAGCCATCACTGTCCCTGGAGTTTGCAGGTCTGGTGTCTACAGCGCTCGCTTGATCCTATGCCTGGTGCCCCAAACCTGCTTCAAGTGGCTGCATCAGGGTGGGACTCACATCCAAACTCTTCTTTCCGAGGTTTTGGGTGTCTTCTCCGAAGAGGGGGAAACCGCTTGTCCAGCTGTGTCCAGTACACTGAAGGGCCCCAGACTGGGTCCTGGGGTCAAACCTAATCCAGTCCCTTTGTCCAGGCTCGGCCACATCCGATTGGCTAGGTCCAGTTACTTGAACCAATTACTGGGGAGTTGGTGGGGGGCAGGGATTGTCCAACCAGGGCCCCTTCCCTGGGGCTGGAGGCCAAGCCACCCCTTCCCCTCAGCCCTTCCCCATTGCCCCCTCCCCCATTGCAAGCTCTGGGCTCAGGGGGGCAGGCTGGTCAGAGTGTGGGGGCCTTTCATACATCTGGGGGCTAGGACGAGGGATGACTCGAGTCCCCAGGGGAGGGCCCCTGCCCCTCTCTGCCCCCTGGTGACCCCACCACCAGGCCTCGGACAGCGCCTCCTTCCTAGATGACAGGGACTCTTGTCAAAGGAAACGTCTTGCACATACTGAAGAATAGAGAGGAGGGCAGTGCCTGGGCTCAATGTGTGATTCTTCAGAGCTGGGGGTGCGCCGCAGACCCTGTGGGAAACCCGGGGAGCCCTGGAAAGCAGCCCCCCCAGCATGGGCCCAGCTGGTGGCACCCCTGGTGGGCTTGGGGCGCCCCAGGCCCCGTGGGGGGCGGGGGAGGGACTGGAGCAGGAAAGGTGGGGGGCAATCCCCCGAGGTCAGTGACTGTAGCAGCCGGAGGGTGTGCAGTGCTGACTCTCAGCCTGGGTTCCCCAGGTGGTGGGGATGGGGTGGGAGGATAGTGCAGTGAGTGGGGAGGGGATGGGGGTAGGGTGGGGTCTGGCAAGGAGGCGGTGGGGGGCAGAGTGTGGGCAGGGGGTCCTGCAGTCGAGCAGGAGGGCAGGGTTTGGGCAGTGGGGGGAGGAGTGGAGGGGTCTTCCCACCGGGTGGCCCTTGTCGGCACATGTGTAAGGCTTTACTCTGCGTCCACTTGGATCCTGTGATGCTTTGAAATCTGACTTTGACCCGTTTTTCTCTGAAGCATGAGGTTGAGAATTTTTAATGCCCAGATGCCTTCCTTCAGTCGTTTTGCTTGCTTTGTCTCTCCCCGTCCCCCGCCCTGCTCTCTTCACTCCCCCTCCCTCCCCTCCCCTCCCTCTCTCCTTCCCCCTCCCTCTCTCATCCCTCTTTCTGCGCCCCTGCCCCAGGTCAAGGCACATTATCATCCTCAGCCCCCACGTTCTTCCCACTTCCTCTGTCCCCGTCCCCCCCCCAGCTCCCTGTTTTATTTATTTATTTTTAAAGATTTTATTTATCTATTCATTCATGAGAGACACACGGAGAGAGGCAGAGACCCAGGCAGAGGGAGAAGCAGGCTCCCTGCAGGTAGCCCCACGTAGGACTTGATCCCAGGACCCCAGGGTCGTGCCCTGGGCTGAAGGCAGACGCTCAACCGCCCAGGTGTCCCCCCCAGCTCCCTGTTTTGTTTTTTTTTTAAATAAATTAATTTTTATTGGTGTTCAATTTACCAACATACAGAATAACACCCAGTGCTCATCCCGTCAAGTGCCCCCTCAGTGCCCGTCACCCATTCACCCCCACCCCCCGCCCTCCTCCCCCTCCACCACCCCTAGTTCGTTTCCCAGGGTTAGGAGTCTTTATGTTCTGTCTCCCTTTCTGATATTTCCCACACATTTCTTCTCCCTTCCCTTATATTCCCTTTCACTATTCATATTCCCCAAATGAATGAGAACATACACTGTTTGTCCTTCTCCGATTGACTTACTTCACTCAGCATTATACCCTCCAGTTCCATCCACGTTGAAACAAATGGTGGGTATTCGTCATTTCTGATGGCTGAGTAATATTCCATTGTATACATAGACCACATCTTCTTTATCCATTCATCTTTCGATGGGCACCGAGGCTCCTTCCACAGTTTGGCTATTGTGGACATTGCTGCTAGAAACATCGGGGTGCAGGTGTCCCGGCGTTTCATTGCATCTGAATCTTTGGGGTAAATCCCTAACAGTGCAATTGCTGGGTCGTAGGGCAGGTCTATTTTTAACTCTTTGAGGAACCTCCACACAGTTTTCCAGAGTGGCTGCACCAGTTCACATTCCCACCGACAGTGCAGGAGGGTTCCCCTTTCTCCGCATCCTCTCCAACATTTGTGGTTTCCTGCCTTGTTAATTTTCCCCATTCTCACTGGTGTGAGGTGGTATCTCATTGTGGTTTTGATTTGTATTTCCCTGATGGCAAGTGATGCAGCCAGCTCCCTGTTTTAATGTGCACGTGTGCCCTTCATCTGTCTGCGTTTTCTAAGATTCACCTGCCAGGTCAGGACCTGTACTTTTAATTGACAGCCACGGTGTCCCGTAACAGACTTTGCCCTGGTTGCTGGTTTTCCGCCCTGCCCTGTATTTTCAGGTCCCCCCATGTACCCCTGTACCCCGTGTACTCAGGTCTGTGGCTCCCCCAGCTGCAGAGCTGCTAGGGCCCCTCCTGGTCTCCGTCTGGGTCACACCCAGTTCAGAGGAGCCAAGAGCATGTTTGGTACCCTGGGATGCCCCCTCCTGGGAAGAGTCACCTGCCTGTGTCCCCAGAAGCCCTGTGAAGGGGGTGGAAGGGAGGTGTGAGCCTGAGAGCTGTTCCTACCCAGAGGTTTCCCCTTGAGGTGCCCGCTTCTCTCTTGCTAAATAGAGGCAGTCTCTTTCCTTCCCACTTGGCAAGATTATTGCCACAATTAATGACCTTCGAGACCGCGACCTGCACCTTAGATTCTGTGCACGTTACGGTTTATTTCTCATCACCAGTGTGTGTCTAGCATTCACCCTCCCCTTCGTTCTATGACTGCGATGATAAGATTCTTGATTCATCGGGGCCGCTATGGGAAGAGCACCCCTGATGTGCTGGGGCCCTTAGATGGGGGAGGTCTTTTCTTTATTGCCTCTTAGTATTATTTTTGCAACGCACATCTGCTAAATTAAATACTTAGGTAATGGAGCCTTCTTCCTGAGGGATTTTTTTCCCCTGACCTGACTTGTGAGTTTTGGCTGCGGGCAATGGAGAGAACTTTCCTGCGCTTGTGTTACCTTGTTGGGGTGCTTGCTGTGTTCTTAGGATCGAACAGTGACCCCCGTTATGGACACAGTTTTTTATGTTCTACTAGGGGATTGAAGCTATTTTAGGTCAGGGGCGCCTGGGGAGCTCCATGGGTTAAGCATCTGACTTTGGCTCAGATCATGCCCTGGGGTCCTGGGCTCAGCAGGCAGCCTGCTTGTCCCTCTCCCCCATCTTGGCTTTTGCTCTCTCTCAAATAAATCTTTTTTTTTTTTTTTTTAAACTATTTTGAGGCACCTGGGTGGGTTAGTGGTTAAGCATCTTCCTTCAGCTCAGGGCATGATCCTGGTGACCCGGGATCGAGTCCCACATCGGGCTCCCTACCCGGAGCCTGCTTCTCCCTCTGCCTGTGTCTTTGCTTCTCTCTCTTCTGTGTCTCTCATGAATAAATAAATAAAATCTTAAAAAATTTTTTTTAAAAAATTAAAAAAATATTTTAAGTCAGAAAGCAGAATTTCCAAATATTTTTGAGCACTGGGGCAGGAAATCTAATAGCCTTACACCCCTTATTTCCTCTAAACTTATCATTACGTGGAGATATGTTGGTAATCTGAATTCTTTTAAATCAGATTTTTAACCCCACTTTGCTGATATTTTAGGACTGTGATTTGAATCTACTTGGAGGGAAATAACTTCATTAATGCTAGACTATTTGCTTGGCTTCTTTAAAAACCTTGTCCCCTATCCCCTTTCTCTTATAACCTCCTTATCCATTAGGAGCAGACTTCAAAGAAGTTGATATTTTCTTTAAAAAAAAAAAAATCCTGAGGGTCCAGGAGATCCAATTGCATAGAATTGGTGATGGCCATGAAGGACGTTTTATACAAATCCTATTTTTATCAAAATCTTAATTTTTTCATGCATCTTAAAATACCGTAATTAAATACTACTTTTTTGCCTCTTTCTGACTGTCTGCTGTTATCCTGAAAACAGGTAGATAGCAGAGCTGAATTCACAAGTAAGACACCTCATCTCTTACCTAAACTGTGGATCTCCTACATATATATGTGTGTATATATATATATGAACACAGGCAACATTCCCCAAATATATAAAAAATAAATAAATAAAAGAAATAAATAAAATCATATATATATATGAATTTTTATTTATTTATTCATGAGAGACATAGGCAGAAGCAGGCTCCCTGCAGGGAGCCCGATGCAGGACTCGATCCCAGGACCCCAAGATCACAACCTGAGCCGAAGGCAGATGCTCAATAACTGAGGCACTGAGATACCCAAGAATATTTATATTTAAGGGCCACCCATTCATACCTGCAGCCCCTGCCCCGTGCCCATCGTGAGCACGTGTGCAGGAACAGGCAGGAGAGCTTTTGTAGCTGAGCCTGAGTTTCCGGAGCCTCAGGACCCATGGGAACACACTGTGTCAGGTCTTGGAACTGCCTCTTAACTCCCAGGGAAGTTTTTGGTTTTATCTTTCTCTTTTTTGGTTTTATTTTTCTCCTTTTTGGTTCTGTTTCCAGTTATATCACTTTCCTATAGCTATTTGTCTTTAGCTCTCTTGCCATAAGAAAAATGAGTGATTACTGCTTTGGGATCTTGAAAAAGATTTCGAAAAGGCTGTAGCAGTAACAGGACCTGCCCTGACTTTCTTTCCTGGATGGAGGATTGCTCTCATAAACTGTGCTCAACGGGAACATACCAGCCGATGCTTCTGGCAGCTGCAGGTCCTCTCCTTGGTGATACTTCTTCCCCATTCTGGACTCGCAGGGGCCAATGTGAACGCGGCGAAGCTTCATGAGACCGCCCTGCACCACGCAGCCAAGGTGAAGAACGTTGACCTCATTGAGATGCTCGTTGAGTTCGGAGGCAACATCTACGCGCGGGACAACCGGGGGAAGAAGCCATCCGACTACACCTGGAGCAGCAGCGCGCCTGCCAAGTGCCTAGAGTTCTATGAAAGTGAGGTCGCACTCTCCTTGTTGCTTGAATGTTGTTGGTGTGTTCAGAATGGCACGAGAGCTTGCAAGAAGCTCCGCTCCGACAGTCTGACCAATGACTCAAGGATCTCGAGTTCCCCTGAGCAACCCTGCCCCTTCAGGAGACAGGGGGCCAATGGTCTAGCTGAGGATGAGACTTCCTTGGGGACAAATTTTTAAATGAGTTTGCAAAGCCTTACAACCACAAGAGGCTTTCAGGTGCCTCTCGGTTGAAGGAAAAAAACCCGATTTATTCAAATTTTTGCCTGCCCTACCCAACCAAAATCCATATGACCTTAGAGGCAGATGCCATCTGTACCTGTCACACGTTTCCTGGCAGATATTTCTTTTCCTGCATCCCAAATAATTTGGGGTATGAAGTACCACAGGAAAATGAATGTCTCCAGGATTTCTTTGTTTTTTTTTTCCCCCCTCAAAGGTTTTTGTATTTCATAAATCTTCATAAGTTGAGAATGCTGGGTTTGGTATATTTTGGTAAATTTATATTTTTATCAGGTAGGTATTTGTATCATACATGGGTTTTTAAAGAATCAAGTCATTGTAAAAGGCAGCCTCTGCTCCTGAGCTCAGCTGCCAGGGGTCCCCAGGGACCTCCCGTCATTGGCTGTGGTTTGCTCGCCCTCCCGAGCCATAGCTGCAGGCTTCATCGTTAGTCCTGAGGTCCTGAGCCTGGGCACTACGAGGTGCACCTGTGAGCTGCGTGCTGCTGTTCTGTGGTGTCAGTCCCCCCACCCGGGTCGCCTTGTGCCATGTGGTATGCGGTGGTGAGAGCAGGGCCTGTGGCCTGGAACCACGGGAGCTGCCGCTGGCACCTGCCCTCCACTAACCCTCGCCCTGTCCCCCATGTGTCTGGAGGTTTGAGAAACGAACGTGCTAGCCGTAGATTAATCCCTTGCTGACAAATCTGTGCACGAAGTTATGATATTATGGAAAAGGAAAAAAAAAAACAACAACCCTTCTCCAAGTCCCACAGAATGAGATCCCAGTGGTCACCACCCAAATTCCATTTCCTGATCTTCCTTACCCGGGCCCTGGCCGTCCTGCCTGGTAGCCTTCCAGAGGGGGCCTGCAGGCCACTGCCATTTCCAGGGAAAGGGAAGCGATTCTAGTTCCACCTGGGTGTTTATTAAGTCGAAGGATGTTATGCTACTTCCTTAAGCTGACCACGTGTGATTCCTGTTCTCTTTTTCCAGAAACACCTCTGAGCCTGTCGCAGCTCTGCAGGGTGAGCTTGAGGAAAGCCACTGGCGTCAGAGGACTGGAGAAAATCAGCAAGTTGAACATCCCTCCCCGGCTCATCGATTACCTTTCCTATAACTGAGCTGCAGGCCCCAGGTGGAGGTGGAGGGGCAGGTGCAGGGGGGACACCGTGCTGCCGGCCTCCCTGTACCCAGCAGCCAGCCCAGGTTCAGCCGCTGCAGCTGCCCGACGGCTAGAGATAGAACGACGTTCCCTGAGTCCCCGTCGGCTGTCCTGTCTTGTCTTCTCTGCAGACTCCTGGAGAATATTCCTGAGGCTTCGGGGAGGCCCAGCCTCAGCATCTGCGGGGCCGTGGCCCTGTGCTGGCTCTCCTGGAACTTCACTCCTGTGTCCTCCTGTCACTGACCTGCTTCACAGGGACTCTCGGGAAGGAATCCTCTGGGAGCACAGGGGAAGGCCAGGTGGGGCTGGGGGGTCCAGGACCCTGCTGCCTGGGAGGTCGGGGCACCTGGCACCGTCGCCGAGTCCATCAGCACTACGGTGGCTCGGGTGTCCGAAGGGACCTCCTGTGCTGCAGAGGTGGGCTCCTGACCATGTGGCCTGGGACAGCTGCTTTGGGAACATCCGGCTACTTGGATGCTGCTTTTCTGGAGCTGTGGTTGGCCCATTCCAAGTCCCACCTGTGCCCATCACTCAGGGGGCTTTGCACAGGTCTGAGTTGGGGGAGGCTGAGGCTACTTGTTCCCCACACTAGCACAGTGTTTTTTAGGAGCTTTTCAGGCCTCTGCTCTTAAAAAGTACGTAGGGGACACGCTCTTTTAGAGCAAACATAGGCTGTAGCACGTAGGTTTTGTTAACGAGTCTGTCAAACAGGTAATGTGAAAGTGTGTCCTCCTGGATGCCGGTGGTGGTTGTTTCCAACGTGAAGGACCATCAGGATGCTCTGTAGGGACGATTGCTCACCTGTTTCTGCAGTTACCAAACAGATTCTCTTACCCTAAATTTTGCTCACTCCTCGAAGCTCTGCAACTGGTAGAAGAGGTTGCCAGTGCCCGGTATTAACCACCACCGACACGTGCGTTTTGCGAATACGTTCGGAGCATCTGTTACGTTTTAGGAGTTGTCTGAGTGCTCTGAGCCGCTTAGGAACGAGACTCTTTGCCCAAGGAAGGGGAAGAAGCCGTTTAACAGCCCTTTCCTGTAGTAGTAGAAACAACTAATCCTCACTCTCGGCCACGAGCATGTGCAGCAGTTCATCCAGGTTGCATTTGTGTTAGCCTCTGTATCCTAACTTAAAAACACAAACAGGAACCAGGCGGTTAAAACTAGAGGACTTTGGCATAGTTGGTTCAGGCCTGTTTGGCTTCCGAGGAAACGGGGAAGGCAGCGCCCGTGCCCGACGCTGGCAAACGTCCCCAGGTGCCCCCAGGGGAGCGTGCAGAGTAGAATGAGCCTGGATTGGGGAAGCCAACGGTGCTGTACATCGGGGGGTGTCGCAGTTACTTGGTGGGGCCCCAGATCCAGGGAGAGTTCCACAGTGGCCGCCGCCACGGGCGTTTTCTGTCTCAGAAATGACATTGATGCCTTCGGCACGGTGGTGTCTGGCTGGGCGCTGGGAATGGGTCACTCCCATCCAGGACCAGCTGAGACCCGAGTTCGGGGTAAATGGGTGTTTTTGCCGTGTACTGACAGTAACGGCGACAACAAAATCCCTGGGCTCCGTCCATCCATGGTTTTTTTTTTTTTTTTTTTTTGGTCCATCCATGTTTGTAACAGAAACTGGCCCCGAGCCGTGAAGCTGCTGACGCTTCCTCCCATGGAGCACTGAGTGCAGAGTCCCACGCTCACGGCTCGATGAAACTTGTCCGGTAGAGCCCGTCCTCAGGCTCTGCACAAGGCCCTTCTGTTGGGAGCAGATACACTGATCATTGTGTGTGGGGGGGCGGGGGGCGCTCTCATCGTCAAGGGATGGAGCCCGGCCCATGTCCCAGAGTCCCATCTCCCCACCTCTCTGTCCCCTCCTGACGTTGCTGCTGCCCTCGTGGACAGAGCTACTGCCCGAGGGACCAGATGTCCAATACTTCGGGGCCTCCCTTGGCTTTCCTCCCCGCAGCCTTACTGCGATCTACTCTGAGTCTGAGTCGACCAGAGACAAATTTGCTCCTCTGAGCTCGGATCTTCCCAGCCACCGGGGAGGGACGCAAGGTCAGACTTGGATCATGGACGTCCTTAAAAGGACGTTGATGGTCAACTCCCGAATCTTACCAATGAGAACAGGAGGCCCCGATAGCCTGTGTTTTGGGGAGGCTGAAGTTGGGTGATTAAAACATGCCTTGAAAAGTATAAAGTGCTCCCCAGACGTAAAAGTTACGTGGATATGTGTGTGTTGTGGGTTTGTGGATGTCTGCCGACTTTAGAGCTGTGTAAATGACTTCTGACTTTGGGACAGTTCCACTTATCTCAGGAATCACAGGTGGGACTACCTCTCAGTTGATGTGTTAGAACTCACCCGGTAGGGCCGCCTAGGGGGGCTCAGCGGTTGAGCGTCTCCCTTCCGTTCAGGGCGTGACCGCGGGGTCCTGGGATTGAGTCCTGCATCGGGCTCCCTGGGGGAGCCCACTTCTCCCTCTGCCTGTGTCTCTGCTTCTCTGTGCATCATTCATGCATAAATAATATCTTTAAAAAATAAGTAAATAAAGAGGAAGAGATCCGTGTAGCTGTTAATAAAGTGGATTCTGTTTAAGAACGCCTTTCAGCCTCCCGTCGGCTCTGAGGTCCTGTTCTGGTTATGAGACCTTGTATTGTGCAAGAGGACCCGATGCTTCCCCCCCCCATCCTCATTTTTCCCTCAAGGAAAGAGGCCACAGCTACTTTCTTAGGTAAACTAGATTCTGAAAGTCCTGAGTGTGCTGGGTGGCCTCTGCGACCTGCCTGGCTCTTGTCCGAAGGGCAGCGTTGGGTAAAACCCCCTCCACCGGGTAGCCTTGCCTGTTCTGGGATGGCTCACTCCCTAGGTAATTGTGAACCTTCTAGATGCCGCTCTGGGCAGAGCTCCCAGCCTCAAATCCTACCCTTGGGAGAGATGGGAGCCTGAGGAACTGGTTTAGGAAGACCCATCATCGGGCTCCGGGCTGCTGCCTCCCCCCACAACAGGTCAGACGGGGAGGCACAGGGAAGAAGGGGTCTCCTAGCACCCTCCCTCTGCTGCCCTTCTCTAGGTTCCCTGCCCCCCCCCCCCAATGTCAGGGAAGGAAGTGGAGTCTCCTACTTCCCTCTCTCCCTTACTGATGTGTGCACGCCCAGAAGTGCCGCCCGTGTGACCCATCCGTATTGTTGGATGAGTCTGCACAAAGCTTTCAAGTTGTTTGGGACGAAACGAATGCCTTTGCATGTCCATTCCCTCCTCGGGGTTGCTCCGCTTGAACCCGGGCATGCTTCCTTTCCGGGGGGGGGGGGCAACTGCCCACCACCCTGACTTCTTAGCAGTTGAGTTCCTTTGTTCAAGAAAACGAGCGTGCAACTGGCTCTGCACACAGAGCTCGGCCGCTTGCTCATGTTGTGAGCGGCTGTGCTACGGACGTCAGGAGGGATCACAGCGGTGCGAGCAGGCTGGCTGCTTTCCCGCCCCCCGGGCAGCTCTAGCATGTGCTGTTCTCTCCGTCATGGCCTGGAAAATACTTCCAGACCCTGGAGTCTTTGCTTTTTGTCTTCTCCCACTGTTGGTACCACATGGCATTGACAGCTGAGCCCCACTTCGCTGGCGTGAACACCTTGTGATCCCTGGAGATCTGAATGAAAATGTGTCTCAAGTTGGTCCAATCTAAACAAGGTGCCTCCTAAAAGCCCTGATGTCTCAAAACCATAAGTAAAGAGAAGACTCAACGATAAGTCTCCCGCCCCCCTCTGCACACACTTAACTTCTTTATGTCACTTTTTCCATTCCAGCAGCTGGCCTCCAGGTGTGTGCTTGTTTGGGCAGCGGACCTCAGAGCAGAGAGGTTGCGGCTGAACTCCGAGCCGGGGGTGCAGTGAGCTCGCTCTCTGCCTTCTGCGTGATCGGTAAAGAAAACTCGCTTCTTGTGTTAATCCAAATCCTGACACACGCTCCGCTGTGTTAGAGACAGTGCTAGACGGGATAAGAGGCAGGAACATCCACTCAAGCCTGGGTCCACTTTCCCCATCCATCCCTGCAGCGTGCCCACCCACCCACCAGCCCACCCTCCCTCTATCCATCCATCCAGGACTCCTTCCCTCTCTCCATCCCTCCCTCTCTACTTCCCTCCATGCATCTATCCCTCCTCTCTACCTGCCTACCCATCCATCCAGCCATCCCTCCCTCCATCCATGCATCCATCCATCCCTCCCTCTCCGTTCCCCCCCTTCCTACTTCCCTCCATGCATCCATCCCCCCTCCTTCTTTACAACCACCCATCTACCCAGCTAACCAGCCATCCCTTCTTCCACCCATACCTTCACCCTTTTTTCCTTTCTTTTTGTTTATTAATTTAATTTAATTTTTAAAAAGATTTTATTTATTCATGAGAAACATACACACACACACACGCAGAGAGAGAGAGAGAGAGAGAGAGAGAGAGAGGGAGGTAGAGACACAGGCAGAAGGAGAAGCAGGCTCCATGCAGGGAGCCTGATGTGGGACTCGATCCAGGGTCTCCAGGATCACGCCCTGGGCCAAAGGCAGGTGCTCAACCGCTGAGCTACCCAGCCGTCCCTGTTTATTAATTTTAAAACAGTTATTCTATTTGAAGTTCTCTGCTGGTCACTAAGGATTAAACAAAGGTCCTTGAAGACCAACCTTGGCCCTGAAGGATTTCAAAGACCATTTCTCAGGGGCAGACACAAGACCAGGTGCTGTGCCTAGAAATGTAGTGGTTAGGGCGTGTGCCCCAAACAGGACAGAAGAGCTAACTGCTCTTGGCAGAGGGGAGAAGAGAGATGCCCCGGACTCAGTTCTCAGGTCTTGGGTTAATAAATGCAATTGCATTCATTTTTATATTCCTGGTGCTGTGTAGTTTACAAAGCTTTATCTTTTTAAGATTTTATTTATTGATTAGAGAGAGAGAGAAAAAATGGGCAGGGGAGCAGAGGGAGAGGGAGAAGCAGGCCTCCCTTTAAGCAGGGAGCCCAATGTGTCGCTCAATCCCAGGACCCTGCGATCATGACCTGAGCTGAAGGCAGATGCTTAACTGAACCACCCAGACACTCCTACAAAGCTTTATAAAATGTTCATAATTGGCAGTATTTTTCTGGAGTGAGAGATTCATTTGTGTTGTGCCTTTTCTCCCAAGCACAGAAACCAGAGAATGAAGATCAATCCTGTGGAATTTTACATGAGTAGAGAGTTTACTATTATCCCTTCTTGTGTTTATGGTTTCCAAGACCTGGCGAGACTTTTCTAGAAGGCCAGACCGGGCATGCAAGGGAGCCTGTGGGAATCTACACCTTGCAGAACACGTTATGGGTCTTTTGAAAAAATAATAAACTGAGGCATAAAAGAGAAATCCATCGCAAGCTACTTTAAAAGTGTTTCTTTTGGGGTGGGGGTCAGAGGGGTCCCTTGCTTCTTTATTTTTTTTTTAAAGATTTTATTTATTCACGAGAGACAGAGAGAGAGAGGCAAAGACACAGGCAGAGGGAGAAGCAGGCTCCATGCAGGGAGCCCGATGTGGGACTCCATCCTGGGTCTGCAGGGATCAGGCCCTGGACTGAAGGTGGCGCTAAACCGCTGAGCCACCCGGGCTGCCTGGTCCCTTGCTTCTTTAAAAAAAAGTGTAAAATTACATTCGAGGAACATAGCAAATATATGCTTTAGTCCCGTGTAGGAGACAACTGGAAATAGAAGGGTAGTGACAGGAGAGCGAAGGGGTGAGGCCCAGTGGAAGGCGAGGGAAGGGAGAGGGCCGGCGAGCAGCTGGCGGGGACACTGGGCACGCTGGTCGGGATCGCCAAGTTAGTCAGCTGCCCTGGTGGGTCATCTGCGGGGAGGCATCCGGAGCTCTCTAGGGATGGGGCTTTCCACTCAGAACAGGCTGACGGTCGGTGCAGCTGTGGAGGAAGATGGCAGTGGTCAGAGCCATGCCACCTGTCCGGCTGCCATCAAACCCCAGTCCCCACATCTGTCTCTTCCCACTCAGCTCTTTCACCAACTAGCAGATCTGGGAGCTGCGGAGGGTCAGACCATGCCCACGGAGAACTCCATATGGCCCTACAGCAGGCAGCATAGTGGCGAAGACTCAATAAAGCCAAACGTCATCTCTGATAACAAGGAAACCGTGACCCAAGACGGGGGCCTTTGGTTCTTTTTATTTATTTATTTATTTTATTTATTCATAAGAGACACAGAGAGGCAGAGACCCAGGTAGAGGGAGAAGCAGGCTCCCTGTGGGGAGCCCGATGTGGGATTCGATCCCAGGACCCCGGGATCATGCCCTGAGCCGAAGGCAGATGCTCAACCGCTGAGCCACCGAGGTGTCCCTGGTTCTTATTTTGAGCACATTTATTCAGAAACAAATAGTACAGGTTCCTAGGTCAGCAGCCTACAACCATGTATTCCTTCTCATTCTAGAAACATTTCCTTGATCTCCTTGATTGCGTATGATGGTCAGGACATTCTGCAGGGCTCTGTCCAGGTCATGGAATAAAACCCAGAGTAAGGCAGCCAGCTGACTGCAAACACAGGGCTCTGCTCGGGGCTGCAAGAATACTCGGGGACGAGTGGCCATGTCCCGCTCAGAAGTACAACGGAGTCCAAAGGGTGGATGGTCAAGAAACAGGACTGCGTCTACTCAAGGCTAAACAACAAAATATGATTTCCAAGCTAGGCTGCTGATCTCTACCGAATGCGAGACTAAGCAGGAAGAGGCAGAGGAAGTGAGAGGAAGGCACCCTGGGGACTTGGAAGGGTTTTAGAAGTTTGTAACCTGGGGCGGTTTTCCTTCTCCCCATCCTAGGTGCGCCTCTGGAGCTACTGTGCATCACCAGCAAGGCCAGTTTGAGCTGACAATCGGGGAGAGAAAGAGAGATTTTTAAAAGTTTCTAGAGCTATTGGGCAAAAGTCAGATGAGAAGCAACAGGATGTTGGAAATCTGGCCCAGCACAGCTGAGTTACCATCACAGTAAGGTTCAGGGGGCAGGGGCACCCGGGGGCTCAGCGGTGGAACACCTGCCTTCAGCCCAGGCCGTGACCCTGGGGTCCTGGGATCGAGTCCTGCATCGGTCCCCCTGCAGGGAGCCTGCTTCTCCCTCTGCCTGGGTCTCTGCTTCTCTCTCTGTCTCTCATGAATAAATAAACAAAATCTTTAAAAGAGAGAGAGAGAGAGGAGGGAGGGACCAGGTGAGGAGGACACAGCGTCTGCCCACAGGAACAGAGCTCTTACCTCGAGCCCAGGCCCTCGGACTTTCAGCTTCCGGAGCCATATGGTGAGACCCCGGGGTGCATGCTGCATGTGTTGCAGACGCCCCCGTCTGCGGTCTCCTATCAGAGCCACCCGAGCTGAGACGCTGCCCTGCAGCAGGTGGTTCTGGAAGTTGCTGATTCCTGCTGGATATCTGTGGCTCTGGGCCTCGAATGTGCATCTCGCTGTAATGGGCACCCCCTCCCCCGCAGACACCCCGGTTAACATGGGAGGGGACTGCTGGACTGGAAGGTGCATCTCGCTGTAACGGCACCCCCCCCACACACACAGACACCCCAGTTAACATGGTGGGGACTCCTGGACTGGAAGGTGCATCTCGCTATAATGCCCCCCCACCCACTGCAGACCCTGTGCCCCTCTCTGCGCCCCTCTTGGAATTTCCTGATGAGCTTGTGACGCCTCCCAAGCCCGAGGACGGCCCCACCCTCCCTCCTGTCGTCCTGCACCTGGCCGGGCTCAGGGAGCCAGCTGTGCCGTCGGGGCTGTGTGTCCCCGCCAGGGCGCCAGGGTGCTGGGAGCGAGGCGGTCCAGCTGTGATCCTGGCCCCGAGTGAGGAGCCTGGGCGTCTGGGCTGCTCCCTGCTCTCCTGTGCAGGCGGCCCCAATACGGCGGTTCTGGAGGCCCCGCTAGGGCAACACAGGGGGCTGCCTCACAGCAGCGCTGGGAATCTGGGGTATGGATTTTAGTTGCAAGCCTGGGGGGGACAGCTGGAGGAGTCCCCGCCCTGGGCTTGTCCACTGGACAGGGAGTAGGCCGTCCATGAAGATCTCCGGAACCTGCTGGACGTAAATAGCCTTCCGGCCCACAGGTTGGTCAACACCAGCTTGGCTGCCACAGGTACCTTTGGCTTTCTGACCTTCGAGCCGTTAGTGTCCAGGATGTCCTGGCCTATGACCCGCCTGCAGAGCCTTGTCCATGAGCCACAGTCAGCAGAAACCAGAGACAGGGCAGGGTGGCTTGGGCAGCAGGGACCAGTCCCGCCACGCTGGGTGGCCAGCGATGGGTCACCCCCAGAGGACCACAGAGTAGGCCATCTCGTGATTTTTCTGGAACCTTTAACCTCTTAGAAATTATTTATTCTCAAAATTCCAGTATAGTGAACGGGCAGTGCTGTATTAGTTCCAGGTGTATAATACACTGAGTCAACAATCCTGCATGTAACTCAGTGCTCTTCACAATCCGTGTATTGGTACTGCCCTTGGCCTATTTGCCCCGTCCCCTGACCCGCCTCCCCTCTGGTGACCAGCAGTGAGTTTTCTGTAGTTAAGAGTCTGATTTTTTTTATCTTTTTTCTTTGTTTTCTTTCCTAAATTCCATATCGGAGTAAAATCATACAGTTTTTGTCTTTGACTGGCTTATTTCACTTAGCGTAATACCCCCTAGATCCATCCATGTTGCTGCTAATGGAAAGATCTCGTTCTTTTTCATGGCTGAGTAATATTCCGTGGTGTATAGGTACCACATCTTTTTTTTTTTTTTTTTTTAGGTACCGCATCTTAATGCATTTATTTACTGGTGGGCATTTGGGCTGCTTCCCTAATTTGGCCATTTTAACTATTGCCCCAGTAAACAGGGGCGCATGTATCTTTTAAAATTAGTATTTTCGTTTTCTTTGGGTCAATACTTAGTAGTGGAATTACTGGATCATACAGTAATTCTACTTTTAACTTTTTGAATAATTTTGTCTTCCACAGTGGCTGCACCAGTTTGCATTCCCACCAATCCAAGGGTTCCTTTTTCTCTGCATCTTTACCAACAGTTGTTGCTTCTTTCTCTTTCTTTCTTTCTTTCTTTCTTTCTTTCTTTCTTTCTTTCTTTCTTCTTTCTTTCCTTTCCTTTTTTTTTTTTAATTCTGATCATTCTGGTAGGTGTGAGGTGATATTTCACTGTAGTTGTGATGTGCATTTCCCTGATGATGAGTGATGTGGAGCATCTTTTCACATGTCTGTTGGCCATCTGTGTGTCTTCTCTGGAGAAATGTTTGTTCATGTCTTCTGCCCATTTTTAAATTGGATTATTTCGTTTTTTTTTTTTTTGATGTTGAGTTGTGTAAATTCTTGTTTTTTTTTTTTTTTTTTTGATGTTGAGTTGTGTAAGTTCTTTATATATTTTGGGTATTAACTCCTTATCAGATGTGTCATTTGCAAATATCTTCTCCCATTTGGTAAGTTGTCTTTTGGTTTTGTTGATGGTTTTCTTCACTGTGCAGAAGCTTTTTATTCTGGTATAATCCTAATAGTTTAATTTTGCTTTTGTTTTGTTTTGTGAATTTTGTTTGCCATAGAAGACATACCTCGAAAAACTCTTCTGTGGCTAATGTCAAAGAAATGACTGCCTGTGTTCTCTTCTATGAATTTTATGGTTTCAGGCCTCACATTTAGGTCCTTAATCCATTTTATTTTTGTGCATGGTGTAAGAAAGTGGTCCAGTTTCATTTTTTGGCATGTGGCTGTCCAGTATTCCCAACACCTTTGTTGAGGACATTTACTTATTTCTGGACTCTCTATTCTATTGATGTGTCTATGTCTATTTTTGTGCCAGACCATACTGTTTCCATGACTATAGCTTAGTCATATATCTTGAAATCCAGGATTGTGATGTCTCCAGGTTTATTCTTTTTCAGGACTCCTTTGGCTATTCAGGGTCTTTTCTGGTTCCATACACATTTTTGCATTATTTGCTCTAGTTCTGTGAAAAATGCTGCTGGTATTTTGATGGGGATGACATTTTTTAAAAAGATTTATTTATTTATGATAGACATAGAGAGAGAGAGAGGCAGAGACACAGGAGGAGGGAGAAGCAGGCTCCATGCAGGGGGCCTGAGGCGGGACTCGATCCCGGGACTCCAGGATTGCGCCCTGGGCCAAAGGCAGGCGCCAAACCCCTGAGCCACCCAGGGATCCCCAGGGATGGCATTAAATATACAGATTGCTTTGGGTAGTAGGGACATTTTAACGATACTCGTTCTCCCAAATCATGAGCATAGAGTATCTTTCCATTTGTATCTTTTTTGACTTCTTTCATCATTGTTTTACAGTTTTCAGGGTACAGGTCTTTTACTTTCTTGATTTGCTCCTGGGCATTTTATTATTTTTGGTACAATTGTCAATGTGATTGTTTTCTTAATTTCTCTTTCTGCTGCTTCATTAGTAGCGCACAGAAATGCAACACATTTTGGTATATTGATTTTTGTCTCTTTAAGCTCTCATTTCTTGAGCCCGTACTATGTGTCCTAAAAGCTCTATCAGCAGAGGCAAGGTTCTGAGAGGGTAAACCGTTTTCCCGAGATTATGTTCTAGGGAAGAGATGGCATGTGGAGATGGACCCGGATGTATCTGGCTTCTAGTCTCTTCTTACTGCTTTGTCACTTGTGGAGATGCCTTGGGTGTCCCACAGTCCATCTGCCTGTCTCTGAGTTTTCTTCTCTAAAGGCTAAATGTCTCCCTGCCCCTCACCTCTGTGTCCAAGGACTTCACCTTTCTGGTCTGACCACGTTCCCTCAGTTGTGTCCTTTGTCTCAGAGAACAAATGAACCAGTCAATTTGTTGCCAATGAATGAGAATGGGCTACTCATGTTCCTTACCTCTGGAAATAGCATTTTACCTTAATAAGAGCTTTCTGGAGGCATGAGGCCATCAGGCCCATTAACATCATGGCTGCTGTGAGCCCTACACACTTTTGCTCTCATGGTCTCCCCCTCCATGAAGAGAAATCTAAAAACCACTTTTTAACCACTGTATTGGTACAAAGGTGAATTTAATCCAGGCAGGATTCATTATTATATTGAAGAAACCTCCCCCCTTGTAAGTAGGGCCAGCCCTAATCCAGAGGCAGCCCATCCAGGCGCCTTCCTGAAATTTTAGCAACTAAAAGCATTCTGTTTACAATAAGAAAACCATTCCCCCCACACCCTGATTGGAATGTCCCTGAATAGGTTCATGTTGACTCTCTGTGAAATCAACCTGGATGCTATGCGACTCCCGCGGTTCTTTTGTCTTTAGGCGGTTTCTTTCCTTTTGCCTTTAAAGATCCCAGTAATTGCTAATCGGGGCTCTTTTCCTCCTCGGAGGTGGAGAGCCCGTTTGGGCAAACGTTCAATAAACCCTCTTGCTAATTGCATCTGCATGTCTGGGGTCTGAGTCTCTGGGGCATCCACTGGGACACGTTGGCACCCGTGAGCCAGGGTCCAACATTTGGGGGCTCGTCCGGGATCTGAGACGCCCCAGACTCAATCCTAAGACCGGTAGGAGGTAAGACCGAGCTCGCTAAATGTCATATCTGTCTCGTCCGTTTGTCTGACTGGCCGGGTCTGTTTTGTGCCGGGTCTGTATTGTGCTTGCAGGACGCTGTACTCTGTATTCTGTATTTGGACCAGCGGGGGAGGCAGACGTGCCCGAGACCCCTGGTCCCCCTCCGGAGTCGGACTCCGGAGTGGTCTGGAAGAGGAACGGAGCCCCGGCACTCCCTCCTCTTCGGGGAGGGTCGTGGTTCGCGACCGCTCCCATCTGAATCTGCCGCGCCAGTCCTGTCGTTCGTGTGCGTCTGTTCGTTCCGTGTTTTTCTTCCTTTCCTGTCCTCCTCCTCACCGCTCACCTCTTCTCTACACCCCCGGGGCAGACTGTAACCACCCCTTTAAGCCTCACTCTAGATCACTGGAAAGAAGTCGCCGGCCGGGCACACAATCTTTCGGTCGAAGTCACAAGACGAAGATGGGTCACCTTCTGCTCCTCAGAGTGGCCGGCTTTCAACGTCGGGTGGCCCAGGAACGGAACTTTTAATATTGACATTATCTTGCAGGTGAAGGCCCTGGTCTTGCAGCCAGGACCCAATGGACACCTCGACCAGCCGACCTGGGATGACTGCCAACAGCTCCTGCAGACTCTCCTCACCACGGAGGAGACACAGCGCGTCTACCTCGAAGCTCAGAAAAACGGCCCCGGGGGCGGATGGGAGGCCGACCCAGCTGCCTAATGAGATTGAGGATGTTTTCCCCTTGGTTCGCCCGACCTGGGACTACGACACTGTTGCTGGTAGGGAGCGGCTCCGTCTCTATCGCCAGGTACTCCTAGCAGGTCTCAAAGGGGCAGGGCGTCGCCCCACCAATTTGGCAAAGGTACGTGCTATAGTGCAGGGAAAGGATGAGACGCCGGCAGGTTTTCTGGAGAGGTTAATAGAAGGCTATACTGGCCACCGTAGTACAGGGCTCAGGGCAGAGTAAGTCAGGACAGAGTAGGGACCTGGGAGACAAAAGAGGACCACGGGTTGAACGAGACCAGTGTGCCTACTGCAAGGAAAAAGGACATTGGGTTAAAGATTGCCAAAGGAAGGGCCAAACGCAGGGACCTAAAAAGAAGCCCATTCCTGTTTTGTCCCTAGAAGATGAAGATTAGGGGTGTCAGGGCCAGGAACCCCCCCTCCCGAGCCTCGGATAACCCTTAAAGTGGGGGGACAGCCGGTGACCTTCCTGGTCGATACGGGGGCTCAACATTCAGTTTTAACTGAGGCAAAAGGACCCTTGAGCTCTAAAACGTCTTGGGTTCAGGGGGCAACTGGAGGCAAGTTATATCGATGGACAACCGAACGGAAGGTCCACCTGAGCACTGGGCAAGTAACGCATTCCTTCTTACTGGTCCCAGACTGCCCTTACCCTCTCCTAGGCAGAGACCTTCTTTCAAAAGTAGGGGCCCAGATACATTTTCAGCAAAAAGGGGCCACTATTACTGGCGCGGGAGGGCAGCCCCTCCAGGTACTGACCTTGCGCCTAGAGGATGAACACCACACGGCTGCACGAGGACTCTCCACCGTCCGTGCAGCCCCTAGATTCTGAATGGCTCACTAACTACCCTCAGGCCTGGGTGGAAACGGCCGGAATGGGACTAGCTGTAAACCAGCCACCCATAATTATAAATTTAAAACCCTCGGCCACCCCCATATCGATCCGGCAACATTCAATGAGCAAAGAGGCCAAAGAAGGCATTCGGCCACATATACAGAGACTATTACAATTGGGCATTTTAATACCTTGCCAGTCGCCCTGGAATACTCCTCTATTACCCGTAAAAAAACCTGGCACAGGAGATTACCGGCCGGTACAAGATTTATGAGAGGTTAACTGGAGGACAGAGGACATACATCCCACGGTGCCGAATCCCTACAACTTGCTCAGCACCTTACCCCCAAGCCATGTCTGGTATACGGTGTTAGATCTAAAAGATGCATTCTTTTGCCTAAGGTTAAGCTCTCAAAGCCAGCCTATTTTTGCCTTTGAATGGAAAGATCCTGAGACAGGATTCTCAGGACAACTCACTTGGACAAGGCTGCCACAGGGATTCAAAAACTCCCCCACTTTGTTCGATGAAGCCTTGCATCGGGATTTGGCAGATTTCCGAGTTGGCCATCCGGACCTCGTCCTCCTGCAGTACGTGGATGATTTGCTCCTGGCGGCTAGGACAGAACAGGATTGTGTAAAAGGTATGGGGGCCCTCTTGAGAGGCTGGGAGAACTGGGGTATAGGGCCTCCGCCAAAAAGGCCCAAATAGGCCAGAGACAAGTGACCTATCTGGGATATCTCCTGGAAGGAGGCCAGAGGTGGCTGACGGAGAGCCGCAAAAAGGCTGTAGCCCTGATCCCAGCACCCACTAATGCCAAAGGACTACGAGAGTTCCTCGGCAGTGCTGGGTTCTGCCGCCTCTGGATACCCGGGTTTGCGGAGATGGCGGCTCCCCTATATCCTCTCACGAAATCCAACACCCCCTACCACTGGGGAAAGGAGCAGCAATTGGCTTTTGACAAAATAAAAAGGGCCTTATTGACCGCCCCTGCCCTGAGCCTCCCAGATGTAACCAAGCCTTTTACGCTATATGTTGATGAACATAATGGAATAGCCAAAGGGGTCCTAACTCAAAAACTGGGACCCTGGAAGAGGCCCGTGGCATACTTTTCAAAAAAATTAGACAGCGTGGCTGCAGGATGGCCCCCATGTCTCCGAATAATAGCGGCTGTGGCAGTCCGGTAAAAGACTCAGACAAGTTGACTTTCGGCCAACCCCTCACTGTGGTGGCCCCCCACGCCGTAGAGACAGTCATCCGCCAGCCCCCTGATCGATGGCTCTCAAACGCCCGGGTCACCCATTATCAGGCCATGTTACTGAATTCTGAGCGGATACGGTTTGGAACGGCTACATCTCTAAACCCGGCCACCTTGCTTCCAGAAACCGAGTCCCCCTCCCTAGTAATGCATGATTGCCACCAGATCCTAGCTGAAGTCCATGGCACCAGAGGGGACTTGACGGACCAGCCTTTGCCAGATGCTGAAGCAACCTGGTACACCGATGGGAGTAGCTTTCTACGAAATGGTGAGCGTAAAGCCGGGGCAGCCGTGGTAGATGGGAAAGCTGTCATTTGGGCCAGTGCCTTAGAGCCTGGGACTTCAGCTCAAAGGGCAGAGCTTATAGCCCTAACTCAGGCCCTAAGAAAGGCTAAGGACAAAAAGGTCAACATTTATACCGACAGCAGATATGCTTTTGCAACTGCCCATGTTCATGGAGAAATATACCGTAGAAGGGGTCTCCTAACCTCAGCAGGTAAAAACATCAAAAACAGAGAAGAAATACAAGATCTTCTCTATTCCCTCTTTCTGCCGAGAAAACTGAGTATAATTCACTGTCCTGGGCATCAGCGAGGCAATGACCCAGTAGCAGAGGGGAACAGGATGGCCGATGAGACAGCACGGGCCGCTGCACTAGGCCCACAGGCCCTCTCCCTACAAGTACCAGAGGCTGTCTGGACACCGGGGCAACTCTCTCTCGAGTACTCAGACAGCGACCTAGATATCGTCCAGCAAATAGGGGCAAAATATGACGAGCAAATGAAGGTCTGGAAACACCAAGGGAAGACTGTCCTGCCCCAGAAAAGGGCCAAAGAACTGGTGACTCACCTCCACCGATGGACTCACCTCGGACACAAAAAAAATTAAAAGCACTCCTCCGGAGAGAAGGTCAGACCTATTACATTCCCAAACTCCCCTCCCTGATCCAACAGGTAACCGACGCTTGTGTACCTTGTGCTAAGGTAAATACCAAACACCTCAAGATGCCTGAGGGAACCAGGATGAGGGGAGAAAGACCCGGAACTAATTGGGAAGTAGACTTCACCGAAATCAAGCCAGGTAAATATGGTAACAAGTACCTCCTAGTGTTTATAGATACCTTTTCAGGCTGGACAGAAGCTTTCCCCACCAAGCGAGAAGCCGCCCAGGTGGTTGTCAAGAAAATCCTGGAAGAAATTTTCCCCCGGTTTGGACTGCCCAAGGTAATAGGGTCGGACAACGGCCCCGCCTTCGTCTCCCAGGTAAGTCAGTTGGTGGCCAGATTACTGGGGATAAATTGGAAATTACATTGTGCATACAGACCCCGAGCTCAGGTCAGGTAGAAAGAATGAATAGAACAATTAAAGAGACCCTAACTAAATTGACATTGGAGACTGGCACTAGAGACTGGGTCCAACTCCTCCCTATGGTTCTGTTCCGAGTCCGGAACACTCCCGCGCGCCATGGGCTAACTCCTTACGAGATTCTCTATGGAGGTCCCCCACCAGTAACGGACTTACTAGATTCTGCTCTTGACCCTCTTGCTAACACTCCCGGTTTACAGGACAGGCTAAAGGCGCTCCAGATTATCCAGCACCAGATCTGGAAACCCCTTGCGGCTGTCTACCGCCCCGGAGACACAACCGGCCCACACCCGTTCCAGATCGGGACTCCGTCTACGTCAGGAGACATCAGTCCAGGACGCTTGAGCCCCGCTGGAAGGGCCCATATACTGTCCTACTGACCACCCCAACCGCCTTAAAGGTAGACGGCATTGCTGCTTGGGTCCACGCCTCACACGTCCAGCGCGCCCCATCAACGAGCACCGCTGACGCCAGCCAGGACGGACCGGACGAGCCGCTCCAATGGAAGCTCCACCACACCCAAAACCCGCTCAAGAAGACTTCCAAAAATTGTTCAATGACAGTTGTTATATTCCTACCTCTCCTAGCGCTCTTCACCTCCGCCAAAGGTGACCCTCATGCCCTCAAAAGGTTAACCTGGCAGGTACTAACGTCTGGGGGTGAGGAGGTCTGGTCTATAACTAAGACCGCCCCCGTGGGAACCTGGTGGCCTAACCTATATCCTGACCTATGCAAGCTAACCATAGGGGCCCCTAGCCCATGGGACCTAGAGGGATACTTCGACACCTCTAGAGCCCCTAACCAAGAAAGCCCTCCAGGGCGACTGGGAGTAGACCCATGGGGAGGCTGTGGCACGCCTGAAAGAAGGGCCATGCTAAGCACTCTTCCCTTTTATGTCTGTCCCGGGCACCACAGAGATCGCAGGCTAAATCCCACCTGTGGAGGAGGGGAATACTTCTATTGTAAAAATTGGGGGTGCGAAACTACGGGGGATACAGAATGGAGGCCCTCCTCCTCCTGGGATTATATCACTGTCAAGGCTAACTATACTCACCCGACATTTAGCAAATGGAAAACCCTTAATTATGGGCCCTGCCAAGGGTGGTGTCATCCCCTACGGATATCCTTCACGGAGCCCGGAAAAAGGGCTACTTACTGGGCCAATGGATATACGTGGGGACTCAGGTTATACAAAGAAAGAACAGATGATGGTTTTATATTCAGAATTAAACTAAAAATAGAATCCCCAGACCCCGTGGCGATCGGGCCTAACTCGGTCCTCCTCGGGGAACAAAGAGCTCCTGCTAAACTACCAGCCCCGCCCTAGCCGCAGGGAGTGCCGCACCCACTAACTTCGCGGTCACTCCAACCCCTCGGTCGTCACCCGAGACGGGACAACGACTGTTTAATCTTATCATAGGGGCATTCCTGGCCCTTAATCGAACCAGCCCCGATGTAACTAAATCCTGCTGGCTCTGCCTTGCATCCCCCCCCCCTTATTATGAGGGAATTGCTACTTCAGGGACCTATAATAACATCACTAGCACTCAGGGATGCACACCCGACTCCCAACCACAATTCACCCTTACAGAAGTTTCAGGACAGGGAACCTGCATAGGAACACCCCCCCGGGGCTACCAGAGACTCTGCAACACTACCACCCCGATTTTGGGGACTGATTCTTACCTGGAGCCCCAGCCGGGAACTTGGTGGGCATGCAACAAAGGCCTCCCCCCTGTGTGTCGGCTAAGGTTCTAAATAGCTCAAACGACTTCTGTGTCATGGTGCAGATCATACCCAGGGTGTTCTATCACCCTGCTGAAACTCTAGAAAATCAGTATGATAAACATCCCACCCGTTTTCGGCGCGAACCTGTCTCCCTAACCTTAGCCGTTATGTTGGGACTAGGGGTCGCTGCTGGGGTGGGTACTGGCGCAGCTGCTCTGATCCAGGGCTCACGACGACGTTCTATAGAACTCCAAACAGCTGTAGATGAGGATCTACGGACACTAGAGCAGTCCGTTTCTAAGCTAGAACAGTCCCTCACCTCACTTTCAGAAGTAGCACTTCACAACAGGAGAGGCTTGGATTGACTATTCCTGAAAGAGGGAGGACTGTGTGCGGCCCTGGGAGAGGAATGCTGTTTCTATGCAGACCATTCTGGAGTCATCAGAGACTCCATGGCCAAACTCAGGGAAAGGTTAAATAAAAGACAAAGGGACCGGGAGGCCCAGCAGGGCTGGTTTGAAAGCTGGTTTGAAATCAGTGTCCCTGGTTGACCACCCTAATCTCTACCATTCTGGGCCCTCTAGTTATCCTGCTCCTGCTGCTAACTTTCGGCCCCTGCGTCCTCTACCGGCTGCTCCAGTTCATCCGAGAAAGATTGTCTATTACCCAAGCTCTGGTATTAACTCAGCAATGTCGGGCCCTCCAAACTGAAGAAATAAATGTTCCCTAAGATTTTAAGGTTAAAATCAGCCCAAACAAGAGGAGGGAATGAAGAAACCTCCCCCCTTGTAAGTAGGGCCAGCCCTAATCCAGAGGCAGCCCATTCAGGCGCCTTCCTGAAATTTTAGCAACTAAAAGCATTCTGTTTACAATAAGAAAACCAGGGATCCCTGGGTGCGCAGCGGCTTGGCGCCTGCCTTTGGCCCAGGGCGTGATCCTGGAGACCCGGGATAGAATCCCACGTTGGGCCTCCAGTGTATGGAGCCTGCTTCTCCCTCTGCTGTGTCTCTGCCTCTCTCTCTCTGTGACTATCATAAATAAATAAAAATTTAAAAAAAAAATAAGAAAACCATTCCCCCCACACCCTGATTGGAATGTCCCTGAATAGGTTCTTGTTGACCCTGTGTGAAATCAACCTGGATGCTATGCGACTCCCGCGTGTCTTTAGGCGGTTTCTTTCCTTTTGCCTTTAAAAGATCCCTGTAATTGCTAATCGGGGCTCTTTTCCTCCTCGGAGGCAGAGAGCCCGTTTGTGCAACATTCAATAAACCCTCTTGCTAATTGCATCTGCATGTCTGGGGTCTGAGTCTCTGGGGCGTCCACCGGGACACGTTGGCACCCCTGAGCCAGGGTCCAGCAATATATTCATATTTCCTTCTCATTTCTAAAGATCTTAAATTAAATGTATTGTGGGCCCCGAGGTACTGTCCCCACTGTGCCTAGAGACAAGGTGGCCCTGAACGTCTTCACCCTTGATAATGAGCAGGAATTTAATCACTGGGATGGGTGGCTGAGGAGCCGCTCTGGGGGAGGTGGCTGTTCTGGGGTTCAGTAAGTGTTGAGGACAGAACCAAAGGGGAGGTTTTGGAGATCTAACGTCACTTATATGCTCCTGTAAGCTGGGGTCCTACACATGACCTCAGCTTTCATAAATGAGCCAAGGGTTCACCCCAAAATACTGGTCAGCCACTGGTAGGGCACACGTTTATCTCCTGAGGCTCATCCTCGTCCACTAGCTTCACTGGCCAGTGCCCCACGGGGTGAAGGGTTGCTGGATGGTGACAGCCAAGTGGCCCTTGCAGCCTGGGTCCCCAGCCTGGCGTCTTAGCATTTGGCCACATGGGGGCACCAATGAGCCGGCCTGCTGCCCCCTTTGCCCAGGCAGAGTGGTGCTCGGGGAATCTGAGTCTCAGGGAGTCCGTCTGGCCCCAGAGGCCTTGCGGGGGGGGGGGGGGGGGGGGGGGGGGTTGCCCCGCTGCCCGAAGCCTGGCCCACAGCAGGGCCCTCCCCCTGCCACCCTCAGTAACCTCCAGGACTCTGGAGACACTGAAGGCGACTCAGTTCCAGGAAAACACTGATAGAGAGGTAGAGTGGATGGCCACCTCCCCTGTCACTGTTGGGGTCTAGGGAAGGGATGTCACCTCCCTGGCGCCTCGGGCTCCTTACTGAAACCCTCAGAGTGGACTAGAAGGATCCGAGGCCACTTCTGTTCTCAGATTGTGATTCTGCCGGAAGCACAGCAGGGCCGGAGTGGCTACTTCGCACACCACAGGGAGCCAGCGAGCGGGTGTCCTGTTGCTACTTGGCCGTTATCATGGAAGGGTGACCTTAGGCAAGTCACTTTTCCTCTATGCTTCTCACTTGCCTCCTCCGTAAGAGAGAGGCCTTTCAGTGGTGTGTCCTGGAGCCCACGCGGCCTTGGCCTTCTCCTGCCTCCTGCCCAGAGGGTGGCTGAGACAGGGCTGGCTGGTGTGGCTCAGAGGAACGGGGCTGGCTGGATGCAGGCCATGTGAGGCTGGAAACTAGAACCTTCCACCTTCCTGGTGCCCGGGTTTGGGGGTCCAGAGCCAAGCCCTGGTGACAAATTCCACGGTCCCATCCAATGACCCATCTTCCTAAATATTTTTTTTAATTTTATTTATTTATGATAGTCACAGAGAGAGAGAGAGAGGCAGAGACACAGGCAGAGGGAGAAGCAGGCTCCATGCACCAGGAGCCTGACGTGGGATTCGATCCCGGGTCTCCAGGATCGCGCCCTGGGCCAAAGGCAGGCGCCAAACCACTGCGCCACCCAGGGATCCCCACGACCCATCTTCCAGCAAGAGCTCTCTCTTAGCTTTGCTCGGAGCCCATCCTGATGAGTAAGACCGGGCATGGCTTTCTAACTGAAGTGCCCCTATTGCACTGGCAACTCTCTTGGGTCCTAACATCCCCGTGTCTCCAGCACGTCCCTCCCCGCTGCTACAGTGAGTGGTGCAGAAGAATCAGCCAGGGTGCTCATTAAGAATCCCGAATCCCAGGCCCTGCTGCTGAGCCTGATGTCACAGGGCTGGGGGGGGGGCACCCGGAAACCACCCAGCTCCTCACCGCTGGCTGGGGGGGATAATGCCACAGAAATGTAGGAAGAGCAATTTTCATCTGCGGGGGCATTTTTCTTCTACCCTTTCTTTTTTTTTTTTTTTTTTTTTTTGGTTTTAAATCGTGTCTCAGCACCTTGGAATCCTGGCAAGGAGGATGTAAAAATGGCCTTTTTCAGAGCCAGCCTTTGCTGTCTCCTGTTTAGTCTGGGGCTGGGCTGGGGCCTGGGGTGCTGGTGGCGGCCGTGCACCACCCCATCGGATGGGGAGGTCTGCGTCCTGCCTGTCAGCTACCTCCGGCCGGGGATGCTCCAGAACACAGGCCTGAGCTACGCGTGGGGAGGGACACCCCGGCCCGTGCATCGACCCACTCACCTGGCTGAAACCACACCGCTCTCGGGGCACTGGGATGCTGCACCCCTCTGGCCCGCTGCCCCCACCCCTGCAGGTGCACCTGCTCGCCCGACGCCGGGACCCGCACCAGCCCTAAAAACATCACAGAACAAAGGGGGGAAAGGTAAAAAAACATACCTCAGCCTCAAAGCCCAGAATGGGGTTCACTCTTGCAGCACGTGCAGCAGTGCTGCACGGGCCGGGGTCCCGCAGGGCCGGGGTGAGAGGGGACCCCACCGGGATGCACGCCATGGAGGGACAGTTCCCAGGGGGATGATGAGCCGGGGGTCCGCGGGGCTGCCTCCCCAGGTGCGGGAGCTGTGGCACCCCAACCTGGCCCAGCCCCTCAGCCTCCCCTCCTTCTGACACAAGTGCCCTGCTGTCGCCCACCTTTCTAGGAGGCAGAGCGGCTGGCTTGCGCACACATGGGGCTGGGTGGTCCCGGCGGGAGAAGGGAGCTGGGCCACCAGCTGACCACAGGCTTGGAGTCCTGGACGGTGGGACCCCGACACTGCAGGCCCCTTCCTCTGCTGGAGCTGGAGCCTAGCAGACGGGGCCCTGGCTGCGCGCCGCAGGACCTTTGCACGGAAGAGCGGGAAGGGTTCATTCACTCACTCACGCATGCAGCGTTTGAGCATTTCAGGAGCACCTCCTCTGTTCCAGGCTCTTTCTTAGATTGGCAGGTGCAGACGAGGGGCTGGAAAGACACGGGCTCGGTGCTCCGGCGCTGGCATCAGCTCCGAGCTCCACCTCCGGGGCCGCAAGACCCTGAGCCAGCCCGCAGCTGTGGCCTTAGCCAGCTTGCAGCTGTGACAATCCACGTCAGCTGTGGCCTTGTTCCCGAGGGGAAGCGCGAATGCCTCCCGCAAGCTGCGGAGAAGAGCAGCTGTGCGTGTCTGCCGGAGCCAGCCCCAAGTCCTCTAATTCTGCTCCCCGGCCCCCCGGGAACTCAGCCTGCAGGACACCGCCACCCACGGTTTTCATCTCCCGCCCACTTTTGAGCACTAGACACTCGGGGAGGCTCAGGCCAGCACCTCACTGCTCCCTGCCTCTGAGATGAGAAGGGGGACCAGCCTCACTGAGTGTTGCCCCTGGGGCAGCCCTGCCCTGCTGCACCTGAACCTCCCAGGCCCTTGTCCTCATTGGGAACATGAGCGTAATTGTCGTTCTTACCTCCGTGGTTCCCGTAAGGCTCACTATTACTCAATTTTCATTTTCTTGTCGTCTTAGAATATACCAGGGGTGGGTTCCAGGTCCTTTCTTGCAAAATCCTTAGACTATCTTTATGGGAGAGGTGTTACTATGACTCCTTGCTTGCTAATGAGGGAACAGGGGCCCAGAGAAATTAAGGATCGAGCACGCAAACTCATGTTACCTGCTGCAGGTAGGTTTGGGATTCCAACCTGGATGTTGGACAGCAGAACTCAGACTTTCCATCCCCCCCCCAGCCTTACTGACATGTACTTGAAATATAATACCGTACACGGCGGTACGACCCGAGAACCCACACTGTGACCATTGCTTCCAGTGCGCAAGAGCCTCTGAGCCCCCTGCTTTTAGAGCACCTTGGCTTCACCCTCCAAGCAGAATGCTGAGTCCTGCCCCAGCCTTTGGGTGGTGAGGTGAGGTCACTGTGCTGCTACAGTTGCAGAAGGACTGCTGGCACCTGCCCCGCAGTGGGATGAGTATCTTGCACTGGAGCATGGCAATGGCACACTTGCTACTTTCAGAAGTGTTCCTTTTGGCTCCAGCCCTGTCCTGAGATGTCAAGGCTCCTTCTTGCCTTAAGGTCTCAGAGTCACTGGGTCTTCTTACGACATGTATCTGAGGGCCACTCTGGCCCCTATGAGTTGGCTGCACCTTCCGAGACTCCCTTGACACTCTGCCAGGAATCAGAACCCTTGGTCCTGAGAGCAAAGCCCAATCTCCTTAGCATGGTATTCAAGGTCCTGCTACCTGCCCCGACTTACCTACCTGTCCAGGCTTTCCCTTCCCGGCCATCTGCTGCCATCCTGCCCGGCAAAGCCAGCACTAGGAATCTTCCCTGGCTGTGTCCCCAGCCAGCCCAGCTCTTCTGTGGCAGGGCCTGGCCCTCCACCCACTTGAGAGCTGGTACCCCCTCTGCCCCAGGAGCCTCCTTCAGGTGGCGACTTGCACTTGAACATCTTCACGTGTGTGTGGGAAACTGGAAAGCCAACAGCACCAACCGTCTTGCAGGCGAGAGGATCCAACGTGAAAGATGCAAAGGGATTTTCCATCAATCCCTAAGAAAATCGACACAAGAATTCAGACTGGAGCCCAGTCCCATGGTGTCCTGGGTGGAGCTGTTTAGGGGGTGGGAGGGCCTCTTTCCCTGTGTCCACACCAGTGCACCGGGAAGGAGCCCACAGACGGCTGACCAAGGGTCCCCAGATCCCAAATGGCCGTACTCCCAGCCGGCAAGCATCTCCTACCAAGAAAACCTACCTTCTCCCCGCCTCCCCAGGATCCTATATCCAGATCGAGTGAGGGAATGCATAAAAATGAAAAAAACAAAATGAAACTTGTCCCCCAAATCCCAAGACACCCTTTATTTGAGTTTTCTGAAGGATTAAGTAACCGGGGGAGACCACACAATTTTAACCCCTGGCTCATGTGTGCAGACACACACCTGGTCCGGAGGGGAGAAACCCAACCATGAGAAGAACAGAGGGCAAGCAAATGGAAACTTGGCAAGAGTACACAGCCTGCTATTTGTGGCGGCAGCCAGACAAGGAAAGCCGAGAGGGTGTGAGCAGACATCGTTGGAAGGAGAA